CAGGAATGCTGGAATACCTCGAGCAAAACTTGATACCAGCAACTTCAAACAGGAGCTTGCTGTCACGAGCTCACAACCCACCACACCGGGAAAGCCACCTTGCACAAAGCAGGTGTGTTTTAGTGGAGCGGAGTACCAGAGACGATGGAACTGCTCACAGGGTGTGAATCCCTTGACGTTCTCTTTCAGTTCACAAAACTATTTCAGGCATGTAAACCCCACACACTCCTTTTTTCCCCTCCCAGCAAGGCAAATTCATGTAAAGAGCCAAGAGGTGGTATTTTCAAAGAGATCAAATATCTGATAATTCTCGATCTGTGGAAACAGCTCACAGCACCTGGATTTCTGAGGCTTTACTTTTTCAACAGGAAAAATAAAGAGGTCTTTCAGATGCGGGGCTCCCAAAACTGGACTTGTTCAACATTCACCACTCTTCTTGTAAGCACTGGCAAAGATTGACACAAAAACCTCCTCTTACACTTTACTACCAATACCCTCCCTATTTCCTCTCCGATTTCATTCTCCTCCTCTTATTTCCCAGAACGTCTCACCAGTAGGATTCAGCCAAAACTTTCCAACACATACCAGCTTAGGAGAATCTGCAGAGAGGCAAGGCATGTTGCTCACATCACAGGGAACCTGGGGGAGCTTTTCTGCATAAACGCAAGTCAAGCAACAAGACGCCTTCAAAGGCTCTCCGCGAGATGCGAGTGCCCTTCTTCCACTGATGAGAGCACAAACTCAGGGCTCCAATCTGCAAACAAACCCTCTGATCTATTCCCTGCTGGTGACACAGCACACGGGTGTGAAAGCTCTGCTCCTTCGCGTGACGAGGCAAGACATTCCACGGCTTTGGAGACAGCTGAGCTAGTCCATAACAGAAAAGACAAAACCTTAACACTTCTTCTGTTCTTTTGGCACTATCATCACACTTCAAAGTCACTCACGGCATCCAGGGAATTGATTTTCATTGTTTACACAGATATTGCACCTACTGCCATATCATATTTTGGCTTTACCCCGGTGTGCATCACCTCAGGAGTATGCAATACTTCCTGCCACCAACCTTTTTAGAATGGCATCCTCTAATGGCTACTGTGGATAAAGAGAGTTCATTAAACTCACACACACAGTTTTGTTTACTCAGTTTCCCATTACTACATCCCTGAAAGGGGTAATTCTGTGGCTAACATCACCTACTGCAAAAGACCATTAGTTTAGCAGCAAAGTTCTTCCTCCACCTTCCAGACAACAGGCGTTTTGTCTGGACAGCAAGTTCTGCAAATGAGGCAGAGGAACGGCAGAGTTTCAGCAGACAGCTCACTGAATTTCTTTGTCTCGAGCAGTCCTGGCAGTAATCTGGTGCTAGTTCATGGCACTTTACATCCTACGAAGTACACAGCTTAAAAGTACCTCCCAGTGTATGTCAGTACACTTCCTCTGTCAATATTTTTACTGATCACAGACAGCACATCAGATCTGCTGCCTGCCAAGGTCGACTGGCTATGGCATTTTCTTCCTCCTGTTCTAGTGCACATCAATACGGTGTGGCTCAGAAAAAAAAAAAATATTATTTCCAGCTTTTAGTCTAATTTTCTGACGTTGCACTGGACAAAAATACCTTTTGCCAGCACTGAGTATAGCTAGAAAACAGAAATGCTCTCTGACTCCAAGACCTTAGAAGGGATATTTTAATCTACCATCAAGTACAGAACATAAAAATACTTCCATTGCTATGTTTAGAGAGACAGATCAGGGATGAGTTCAAAAAGATGGAGTGGAAAAAAAAGAAGACGACTCTCAGTACACCACAGAAAGGCAGACAGCACAGCTGAGGTGATGAAGGTGTGAACAATTAGCTTGTGCTAATACCAGCATCTTGTTCCTCCTTCACCCTCACCCTCCCTGTTTACTTTGGGAACTTGGGGGTGTGACTACTTTGGAAAATACACTCAATTTCAATACAGCATGAAATGTTTAGATTCCTCTATAAGCAGTGAACAGTTCTGATTTTTCTTTTAAATTAAAGTTAGCAAAACCAGACTTTATTGGCAAATATCTGAATTTCTGTTACCAGACGATAATCTATGAGAAGTGAAGTTCTTCTATCCTGCAGGATCTTTTTTCATTCTATTCAGTATTAGACTGGAAGAATGGAAACCAGTTTCTTAGAAAAGCCACCGTTCAGGTTTAGTTCCAGAGGACAGGCAATATTTCAGAGAAGTAACTACTTGAGCTATAACAGCCTCTCACATCAGTTGCACAAAATTGATGATCAGAAGGCAATGCAGAAACATTTTTGTGTGCTTATACACTGGCTTCTATACAGATAAACACTAGAAAATGTTCCTTATTACACTGGAGCTTGCTCCACTCAGTTTTTTCAGCCCGGACTGGGGGGAGCTGGACACCGACTGAAGTTGCCTTACCCAGCCCATGTGTAAGCACAAGGCAAGACAGCTTGTTTCGGCAAGACTGCCACGCGGTGTGCAAGCGTACTGCCAAACAGCAGGCTTCACACTCTCTGCAATTTCTTAAAAAGGAGTCAAGCCTATATCTATTTTCACGTAGCTCTGGTACGCTTCATCATCTCTTCTTGTAATTTCTTTTAAATCCTTAGCCTTAATGTATCCCTGCTGAATCACTCACACACACGGCATCTCTCATGCTCCAGGAGTATCTGGATGCTGAACAGCAGCTCAAATGTATTCTAACAACAAGTACTATTTTTGATCTCTGAAGTATTCCCAGAAAGGAGTAAATGCTATTATTACAATCTGATGAGCAAAACAAGATGGTATATTTGAGCTTTGGGGAAAAATAAAGTGCAAAGATGAAAAAGAATTCTGGAATCGTAGCTACTGACTTCCTGCACTAGCTACTGGCCAAAACCCCCACTGCACTTCTAGAAAGTGCTAATAAAACTCACAGAAAATATTTTTAAAAGGAATAATAATAATTTATCAAATCTACATTACCCAAAGGAAGGGAAAAAAGGTAATGAATGATTTGTTAAAGAAAGCTTATCCATTTAGTTTAAAAAGAACTAATGTTAATTTCTTACATGAGAAATAAATGTAAGCATTTTTTGCAGTGAATTATTTTAGTTACATTGAACTGATAATACTAATTGCAAGTTGCTGACAATAATCCTACAGCTACAATGTCATATCTGCTAGACCTTTATTTGCTTAACAGAAGACAGGATAAGACTCTTACTGTAAAGTTCACCATGAGCTCCCTACACCCGTCTGTACTCAAAATCCTGCCTACTACCTGCAAATAACACTAATGTTTAACTATATCATACTTTGAAAACAAAGGAAATAAATTATTGCACTCACTTCTTAAAGAGTTCTGCACTGTCCTGTAATATCTGTGAACAAATCAATTCACTGAAACAAAAAGTTCTTCTTTCTCTCTAAGCAAATGCAAAAGAACTTCCTCGGACTGGAAATTCAGCAACTCTGCTGCAGTGCTCCAAGTGAAAACAAACCACTGTCAGACACACACTGTTAGAAAAGCATCCTCAGCCTTACAAAACCTTCACTACCAAGACAGTAACAACCTTTACATCTGAATCCTTCTCTCAGTGACCTCCTCCACGCACAACCTCCTCACAATGCAGGTTCTGACACCAGAGTTCATCAGCTGTTATTAAACAAACTTACCCCCTTCAACCTCCGTTTCCCCAGGCCGCTCTGTCCAGCGGATCTGGAGCATGCTCGATTTTCTATTTGGCTGTATTTGCCTCTAAAGAAAACTTCTCCCTGCCAGCACAACCTCTCATCTGCTCGCAAACATCATCCCTGTAACACAACAGCATACCTCGGAGCATTCCATCGAGTTGTTCTTCCCGACTAGCTGGCCTGGCAGCTACTCTGTGTGCCAAAAGCTTCTGCCCCAGCCTAGAAAGAAAACGGCCTGCGCAGCACCTTCGAAGAGTCTCTTCTCAAGTCAGACGCAGGAAGCTTTACTTTATTAATATAGAAAGATTTAGCTGGGTCTAGTAAAACGTGCTTCAGTGGCCACCCTGACTGTGCTAATCCTGCCCTACTGCATATCTTGCTGCCATGGAAATGATTCATTTATTTACCAGAAACAAAATCAGCTGCAGGGTTGTTATTGTTTTTGTGGGCTTGATTTTTTAGGGAGGGAAGGAGGGTTAGAAGCCCTACAGGCCTTAGGAAGGCTTGGAGTACATTCAGGTTAGCTACTGATCTTGCCAACCCTTTCTGCACAGGAATATCCAGGTGAAATACAAAGCATTCAGAAGGCTAATTTCTGTATCTTCAGGTGTTGGCAACTTCACTGCAACTGCAAAATAAGTTCTTGAAACTAATTCAGGACCAAATCTTAAATGTTCATTTAGTTACCCTTTAAACTCTTTGGAAACACCCAGCCTTTAAACAGAATTTGAAGAAACTGCTGCTGTTCAACAGGTTTTTAAGCCATGACTAACTGCTAGACCAAAGAGATCCACCGAGTTCAATAAGCTAATAAACCATTTGTAAACATAGCAAGTGCTTAAGTATCTCCAGGACTACCTGTTCTTTGCTGTTTCCATTCTACCTGGAATTTAAGAATATCACATTGCACCTTATTTGTTTCCACTACAGATCTCCATGAGCCACCAGAGGTCTGCAATCTTGTTGTTCTCTGACAACCAACAGAAATCTGTAATGGGTTTTCACAGCTCATTTGGATGAGCAACAGCTCCAGAGAACGCTGTCACTGCAGCCACGAAAGGGAAGAATATTAGTTTCGACTGATCTGACATCTTTAAAAATAGGGATTTTGAACCTGAGAAATGTATTGGCTTATAAACCTCTTATATGGAATAACAAAAATATCTTTAGAGATTAACCAGGATGTTGCGAAATGGAGAGCTTTTTCACAAAAAGCAAGGAGTAATTCACATTCTGTCTGCACAAAAAGAAAAAGTAATTAAGTCATGCATATATGGCATCACAGCCCGCCTTTGCAATAGCGTTAACTCTGATGAATTCCTGCACTGCTCACAGGTGTCAGACTATGCAATTACATAGGAATTCCTTTACAATTCAGCTTTAGTGACGTGCATATTGATTAGGAATCTATGCTGAAGGTATTTTGTTACAATATTCACACCATTACTTTATAAATAGGTAGACAGTTGCACATTGCTTTGATGTTAAAATGTGATAATTCTTGCTATTAAAAGGAAAGAAGAGGAACAGAATTTTCCTCCTAATTGGAACAGTGGCTACAGACAGCTTGGACAGCGACCCCAATAACTTCACTTGTTTCTCCGAGCAGTGATTATACACAACATGATGCTACTGATGAATTATCAGTGTCCAAACCACATGCAGCAGAAAATAAAAGAAAGGAAAATAAAATAAATTTTTAAAAAGGGGGAGAAAAAAAAAGAGAAGATATAAATCTTCTCATCTCGCCAGTTAGCATATTTGAGGGAAGCCCAGAAACACAGTCGAGCGGCTGGGAAGCAGATGCCAACAGTATCAAACAGCTCAGTCGCTATGCCAGTGCCCTACCTGCTGGTGTTCTCATCATCATCGGAGTCAATGAAGCTGCTGGATTCCAGCTCGCTGCTCATCATGGTGGAAGCGCTGTCATAACCAGGAGGGTGCTCACGGTGTCTGTCCAGTTTCGGATGGCCATTGATCCGAGGGACTGTAAAACCAAAACAAATGCAGTATGACCAAAGAGGAAGAGCAAGGAAGAAGTGGCTCCGTGAGTAGCACGACATCCACGCTGACAGCTGCAGACAGCTCTGCAGGAGGACCCTTATGCCAAAACCAAGCCCTTTGCAGAACCTGATTTCACTCAGCAGCTGGAAAGCCTACTGCCCCGGCTGGGCCGCCTGCCACCTACCTTCTTCCCGACTTTTCCATTTGTCTGTGGCTCAGTTCATGGGCAAGCCATAAACAGATCGAGGCAGAAATAGCAGGCAAGAACTAGTACTATAACGGTATCAGAACATCACCTCGAATGGCCATGAGAAGCTGATGTCAGTAGGAAGGTACATATAAAGATCTTGGAAAAGCAGCAGAAAACACAATTTGCGTTTGGTATGGACACGTCTAGCGGCACAGAAAACGTTAAACAACATTCGTCGATGAATTCTACTAATATCTCACCCGTCCACCACCCCAACCTGTGCTACACGCTCCTTTCCCCACACCTACAGCACCTTGTCTGGGCAGCACAGTGGTAGAAACTCGCAGTGTCTGGACCATTCCAGAAGCGTAAGGTGCTTCAGAACGACTTCTTGCTAATCCCTAGCTGTGTGAATGCCGTCAGACACACAAACATTCCTGCAGATACTCCCTTCAGTAAGAATGCCATTTACTTGAAGGCAGCAGTGAGTCATCTTCTGCTTGCGATATTTTATGGATTTTCCACTGCAAAGCAAACTCCTCTGCCTGCTTCCTTTCAGGGACCTCTCATCACAAGACTCGTTATCTGCAAGTGCTCTACTTTGCCAAGAATGTTCCTTTCCCTGAAACAATAAAGGCTCAGCTTGATAAGGCACCTGGTCAAGAAATAAACCTAACAAGCTTCAAAGACAGCCCAATATCTTAAAACACACTCTCCAAACTCACAACTCCCTCCCAGGTCCAACAGATCTGCTCTTCATTTATAGAACAGAAAACATTCATAATGGAGGAATGTCTGCAGCAGGA